GTAAAATGGTGTGTGTTCTGTCACAGAAAATAAAAGAACAAACTTCTTTCATTTGATATTTGCTGTTGAATAAAGATATAATAAGGCCCTCAAGATGAAAATTTGCCACCTCCTTTGTCTCTGTCTCCATCTTCTGTCTCCTGTAAATTATTTCACTGGACTTATTCACTTATTTTACCTCTTAAAGTTAATGAGCATAACCTTTAATTAAATAAAACTTCAGTACTTATTTTGTACCTCCTGTGTACTAGGTATATATATAGAAAGTCAGGGAGGCATAGAGATATAACAGGAATAAAAGATACAAGATGCATTTGCTGTCCTCACAGAATTATGATCTCCTATGGAAGACTTCATCTACACACACCACTGAACAGGCAGTGTGGATAACTCAGAGGTAGGAAGGAGACGTGGCTGGCACCATCAGTGCTTTTCATGGAGAATATGGAACTTGAATGGGTTCTGACAGATAAAGGCAGCTCACCTGCCCAGGTGGAGGAGGGAAGGTCATCAACCTAGAGGAAACAACCCATGGGCCAAAGCACAAAGCAAATCCCTAGACTTCTGCAAAAGCCTCTCATCCAACCTCCTGCCTCAACCATCTCTGTAATAGATTCTCTCCCTAAGAAAAAGCTCCATTGCCAACCAAGGCCCCATGACTCTCCCAGCCGCTCAGTGAGCCTAAGTGAAAGATGTCTTCAATATTCTTGAATCATATGCATTCCTAGGTAATAGGAGGCAAACTTTCAACACAACCACATGAAGCTAGAAAGGAAGTGGCCTGCGAGCACTTTATTGAATTTGGACTCCATATGAGCTCTATTTGTAAGGATGTGAACTCCAAAGGGAGTGTCCCCCTTAAAAAGGTCCGTTGTCCCTAGTGGCAAGATGTAAGATGCAGGCATTTCATACAAACATCTATGGCTCATATTTTTTTTGGTGGTACTCGGGGTTGAACTCGGGGTCTCATACTTGGCAGGCACTTTACCATTTAAGCTACTCTGCTATTTCAGATGGTGTCTTCCTTTATTCCTGGCTGGCTTGGAGCATGATCCTTCTATTTGTGCTTCCATGTGTAGCTGGGATGACAGGCATGCACCACTGTACCAGCCACTGGAGTCTCACAAATTTTTTTCCTCTGGGGCTTGCCTCAAACCATGAGCCTCCCAATGTCTCCCCCTAAGTAGCTAGGATTACAGCTTTGAGTCGCCATGCCCAGCCTCTCACAGCTTACCTTTAAAAAAAAAACAAAAAACTGCTGGAGCAGGATGATTTCCACAAGAGGCACAGGCAATGGGGGTGGAGATTGCCTGGTATGATCACCAAAACCAGTTCAACCCAGAATGGGTAAGTTTTGACTTCTGTAGATATGTTAGTCTCTTCATCTGCAATAAGAGACTTTTTTGTTTATCTAGCTTGATCTTCACCCTTATGAGTTTAACCTAAGTTTTCTGATGCTCCCGTGATTATACTTTTCTTTTTGTTTTTCTTTCATTCTTCCCTCCCAATTTTCCACATTCCAGAAAACATGTTGACTTCTACAGGTGTGCCTGCAGGTATGGAGTGTGGCTAATGTCCAGGCCAGGTTGAGAAATATGTGATGTCTGTGTCCTGTCACATGCTTGTTTTACTCTAAGAAAACAGTCTGTGGTCTGACAGCCCAGAGACAGATGAGAAGTGATAAGGAGGCAACAGGAAGGCCCAGCAAGTCTGAGGATGACTCAATGTATGTGCCATGTACTTGGGGTCCATGTTTCCTCTGTTACTTCAGAGCCATGTCTGCTTCACTTACTGTTGCCACTGATTCATAGCAGAGAAATGTTTTGATAAGTATCACCTGTTTTTTGCTTTGCTTGAAACTTAAACTTTCTTTTGGGTTTAGTTTTGTTTATTTATTTAATGCAGTCAGTGTGGTAAGAAATACCAGGTAAACCAAAGATGTTGGAAATGTTTGGAGCAAAATCTCCCTCCCTGGCTGTCTCCTCAGAACTCCTGTTTTGTGTATAGCAGCACCCCTTATCACACAGGAGTGATGCAGAGCTGCTGGCTGAGGTTCACCCCTTGGTGGCTCATGTCCACTACAGCAGATAAAGTGACAACTATCCTGTGATTTCTGGCCCTTCTATGGAAACAGAGGAGCCAAGTGGCAGAGCTTGCCCAGTTGGGCCTTCAACTGCAAACACCGTCATGTTTCCTCTCCTCCCCAATTACTGCTCCTTTCCTCGTTCCCTCCGCTCCTCTCCCGAAGAGTTGGTTAGCCTTTTTTCTTTCCTTCACCCTAGGAAAACAGGGCTTGCTCAGGTGCAAAGGATGGAAGGTGTTGCTGTGGTTGGAGCTTGCCAGGGCAGTGAGAGGAGATGGTTTCTGAGGAATGCATCTCTACTACTCCTTGGCAAGCCCTGGGGTGGGATCACCATCACTGTCTCACAGCACAGAACTTTTTTTTTTTTTTTTTTACTAAAAGAGTACAAGGCTTTGAGTAAAACTACCAAATCAAATCATGCACTTTTACCAGATCCCAGGTGAATCACAGGTACAGCAAAGTTTGATAACCACTATTCCAACAGCCAGGGATCTGCAGACTGCAACTCAGGGGTCAGGTCTGGTCAGCTGCTCATTTTTATAACTCAAAATTTACTGGAACAGTCACACGTATTTGTGGATTGTTGATAACTGGTTTTACACTTCTATGGAAGAGTTAACTAGTTACAATGGAAGACTGTACAGCCGCAAAGCCTGAACTGTTTACTCTCTGGCTCTTTACAGGAAGTTGCTGGCTCCTGTATTAGAATTCAGACTCCTTAGAAATGAGAATGTGGCCTTATTTTGCTTTGTAAGATAAAAAAGCAGCTTAGTACAGTGATTATGCGTGCATTCTGATAAGATTTGCATCTAGGCTCTGCCATTTCCTTGCAAGCAACTTGAGTCTACCTCTGTGCCTCATGTTCCCCATCTACTAAGTGGGCGTATGTAAATGGAAACCACTTCACAGTGTTGACATGGCGGTTAAGTGTTAAGATATGTATGTAACATTTGTAAGCAAATGTTAACTCTTAGCTGGCCCCAGGTGTTTTGAGAGTTCCATAGGGGATTTGTTCAGTGTTGGCAGAATGACCCCTATAGCAGACATGGTCTATCAATACACATTCTCTGCTTCTTCCTTGCTAACATCCTAATTTTCCTTTTAGGTGTCTAACCCTCACAGGAATACTTACCCCATCACCCCCCATCTCTGAGGGTTGGTACTACTGCAAGACAATCATAGTAATGCTATCCTCACTGTGTGTGGACTGGCATAGATATGGGCATTTCTGGCCAATGAGTCATGAGAAGATTTTTGAAAGGGCTTTTGGGAAATGGCTCCCTCATTCTTTAAAAGAAATGAGAGATGTCCCTGTCCTTTCACAATGTTGAGTCTGGAGGTGACACCAGGAACTGCAGCCTCCACAGAGATGGTAGTTTGGGGACAGAGCAAACATGCTTGGAATGGCAGAGCAGAAACATGGAAAGAATCAGGGCTCTTATGAGGACCCTGAGTTGCAGAATCAATCAACCATGGGACTCACCTTCTCATGTACTGCTTTTATGAGGGAAATAAATTTTCCTAGTAGTACAATTCCTGTTGAAAACATCCTAATTCAGATAGCCAAGGACTCTGATTACATATAACTTCACCCCATCCCGGACCTGACAATTGTTGGGTGCTGTGAGCAAAGAACAGTGGCAGTTGGAAATGAATGGAATGTTCTGGGTTACATAAATCAAAACTCACAATGCAGTTATCACCTCACACGTTAGGATGGCAATTATTAAAATGTAAGGGAATGTGCCTATGTGTATGTTTGAGAAATCAGAACCCTTGGGCACTATTGGTGGGAATGTAGCTGTTACAGTGTGGAGACTCCTCAAAAATTAAAAATAGAACAACTATATGATGTAGCAATCTTACTTCTGGGTATTTAAAAGAATTGAAAGCAGGATCTTAAAGAAACATTTCACTCCCATTTTCACTGCATTATTCACAGTAAACAAGTGAAAGCAAGCTAAATGTCCATGAAAGATGAATGAAGAAAATGTGGCATATTCATAGAATATTCCATCTAATGGGATATTAATGCATCTTAAGAAAGAAGGAAATTCTGTCACTTGCTGCAATATGGATGAACCTGAAGGAAATTATGTTAAGTGAAAGAGGACACAATACTGCATGATTCCACTTACATGTGGCATCTAAATTCATAGGAGGAAGCAGAATGGTTATTCTTCCACCCACGAACTATCTACTGAGTGGAGGGGGAAAATGAGAAGTTGCTGTTCAGTGGGTAAAAAGTTTCAGTTATGCAAGCTGAAAAACTTCAGGTATCTGCTGTACAACATTGTGCTGCTTATAGTTAGTGAAAATGTACTGTGCTACTTAAATTTGTTCAGAGGGTAGATCTCATGTTTCTTTACAACAATAAAAAGTTATCTTGTAAATTGGCAACTTCAAAATTGTAAATTGGGTAGCGTGATTAATTCAAAAATTTGTAAATGCTCCTATGCTCAGATTTAAGAATATTGCTTCCTTTTAGGTTTTGTGAAGCCTAATGCACAAACATGAAAATAAACATGTGGGTTATCTGTCATGATTAAGTATAGTTTTCGTGAATTTAAATAAGTAATAGCAAGAGTCACATTTAGAATTTGATAAAATAACACAGCATCTCTCCCTCTTTTTTATGGAGGGGTTATTAAGAATAGAAAAGTCATTTCAAATACTAAAATTCTGACTTAAACGAATAAAACTTAGTCACAAGTATATGGCAAAAGGAACAAACAAACAAACAAACAAACATTCTGGGATAGTGTAGGCCCAGTCCTTCATTGCATTTCATCACACTCCCAGTTGGGAGTCTCTTCCTGACACCTGTGGTTCACTTCCAAATGTTGTCTCGAACATGACAACCAAACTTGGCAGGTTTTTTGCAAAACCAGATGGGTCTTGATCATTTCCTTAGTGATATCTATTATTTCCCTCCTGGGTAGAAGGGCGTGAGGATAGCTTATCTTTTTGGGGCAGGTGGAGTAGAGGTGGAGCCTCTTATGTAACATGAAATACAAGAAAGTTCTTTGGGCTGGAAGTGTCAAAAGATTCCTTAGAATTTATTGCCACAGAAATTTCATGGTGTGTCAGATCATCAACTTACTGAATTTGTGCCACATCTGAACCAGAACTGGGAAGATTCAAAGCGGCAGTGGTGGCTAGGTACATGTGAGAGGTGAGTTTGGGGAGAAGGCAGCAGAAACCAGGGCTGTCCACCTCTACTTACTCAGAACAGAAGACCCCACACTGAAGAAGCCATATGGTTTGGCTTGAACCCACACTCATGAGATACCTCAGCCTGTGAAAATCTAAGGTAGAAGATTTTTAAGTCACTGTCGCAATCAACTTTTAAGGCCAGAGGGGTCATGAGACATTTCATTTACCTTCTTACCTTTCAGCAAGAATAGCACACCCAAGCCTCGCAGTTGTATCAGAACACAGTTTATGATTAAGAGCCTTCGTGGGGTGGGGGGGGAGGTAACATAATTTCACTTTTTTCTATGAGCAACTTTAATTGTGTGCTTGTCACCTGCTTCAGGATCTTCAACAACCTTGACAAAGTTTTTGATGCCCCAACCATTGTCACTGGTCTAACTCCAAGGCCCTCCTCCAAGTGGGAATACCTTGTGGTCAGAGCACCCAGAGACAGGTGTGATGCTAAGGGCTGGGGGTCACACATGGTCTCCAATGGTGCCCTGAAAACATCTTTTGACAGCTATTCACATATCTAATGGGCAGCGGCACTCTCCTTGTGATTTCTTATCTGCCTCCTTTCCTACCAGCAAATCCTCTGAATTGTTCCATGTTTCTAGCAGACACTATAATTTGACATAGAACCTCTGCCTTCATGGCTAGATCATTAAGGACTAACTTGTTCCTTAAAGACTACAGCAAGTGAAAGCAATTCCCTATAAGTCCACTAACATTATGTGTTTGGACTAAAAGTTTCCTGTCGAAGACTTGTGAACAGAGGCACTTCGTCCCCTGCGCTGCTATTCTTTGGGCATTTTCAGCTATGGAGCAAGCACTTTCCCTTCTCTTTTGAAACAATGAGGCCTCATATGTAACTTATCATGTGATTTCAAAGATAGTGGGATGGTCACAAATTCAAAAACTCAATGGTTCATGGGCAGGGGTTGGGAAGAAAGCTAACGAATGAAACCTGTGGTGTAATCCCTTTCAGGAAAGAGTGTGAAAGGTGGGGTGGAATTACCAGAAGCCTGGCAGTTTGATGTGAAGCCTTCAGGACAGGCAAGGTGTAGCCACTCAAGGAAGCAGCCTTCTTAATATCCTTTATAAGGCTGCTGTGTTGGAAAATAGCTGATGAGTAAGAAGTCCTTTGAGAAATATTTTCCTTCCCACTTCAGGAATTGTTAGGAAATAAGAGTCTGGCTTTCAAGAGAAGACCAGAACGAATTCTCAGTTTCCAGGAAGGAAAAGAGAGCTCAGGAGATTGTTTTCTCCTTCAAGGGCATCTGGCTCTAGTTTTTCTCCTGTCTCACCCAAGAGCTTATGTTGGTGGAATAGGCACAAGTTTGCACAGGGCAAGGCTGCAATCTTAGGGAAGGCTAAAGGCGCACATTCCTCTACTTGGAGTCCTTTCCCAAAGCAAATAGGACCTAGCCACTAGCAATAATCCAAACACTACAACAAAGCTATGGAAATGGATATGCATGCATTGGTACATATATCCTCCTGCCACTTGCTATAAAGGAAGTAGAACCAGAAGTGGGAGGTGGGGATGAGGTGGCATGCTGAGCTGTGGCCTAGCTTCAGTGACACAGGTGAAATGACTGGTCTCTGCGGTGGCTGAGTAATTCTCCTTTCCCAGCCTTCAAAGAATGAGTGAATGACCCCCCAGCTAAGGAGAAACACTGGTCCTCTTGGGGCTGCCTGTGGCATCTGAGGCAGAGGGGGCTGTGGCAGACTCTTCAACAGAGGCACTGAGATCCAAGAATTCCAGGATGATGTCCCCAAGGCAGTAGATCAAATGTCTGAAACAAATGGGTGGAACAACTTTGAGTCGAGTCTGGCTCAGCCAAGAAACACAAGATCCTGTTTATGACATTTACCTTCTGTCCCCACTCACCCATTTCCCTGAACAGCAGTAGTTTGATAAAGCATCTGCCATGAAATAAATGGTTGTTGAACTACTAGACACTACAACACCAACAAAGGAAGAACAGTACTCGAGACAGATTTTTATAAACTGCCCTTTCTCTCTACACAGTCACATTAGCACATTAGCAGTTCTCTGAAGAACTGGGAGGGGAAATCCTGTGATGTTAGATTACTGACTACTGCTACTTTTCATAATTAAGCACTTAATTTATAGGCTATCCTACATGCAGGGAGGCAAAGCCAGTACCATAGGGGAGGGGGAGTTAGGAGATACAGTTAGGTTTGGGGTAGGGTTTCAGAGAGAAGTACAAAGCACTTTGTACTTTCTAAATGCATTGTAGCCAAAGGGATGGTAGTCTGCCTCTTTTAAGTTCTTCTAGCAGTCTTCACCCAGCATTCTGGCCCTTCTAGACAATTCTAACCTTACTATCTGTCTATTTCATATTCAGCAAAGACAACTCCTAGTCCCAACACTAATCACAGCTTTACTGTAAGGTCAGGAACTGATGTTATGTTATAAGTTAACAGAGGCTGGGAGAGGTTGGTAATAATAACTAACACAATGAGCGAGCCTGGAGGTTAACAGGGCATTTTTTAACAACTCATGTGGGGTTTGCATTGAGTTCAATCAAATACAAATAGGGCTCATCCAAAAGGAGCTTACTACCATGGAGCCAACTTGTTCAGAAGCATGGTGACACAGATTTTACTTAGCATGTGCAGTCAGGGGTGCAGAGAATGCAAGGCAAGTGTGCAGTCCCATTCTTCTGAAAGAGGGCTTTTCACTTGTCTACTTGAGACTGCAGATTGCTTTACTTGTATTGATGGTGGGTACACATGCTCCAGCCTACCTGTTGATGAGGGGCTGCTGTAGTGACTCCAAGACTAGACTCCAGCTCAGTAGACACTTGTTTACCCCCAGGATTTCTACTAAAAAATCTGATGAGGAAAAAAACAGATAGGATTTTTGTGTTACCACTGAAGCCTCAGAATTTCAGAAGATTTTCTCCCAGGATCCTGCTACTTACACATATGGGTATTTCTTGCATATCTCTAAGTCAGAAGCCAAAGTAAAACCTCAAAAAACAGAGAAAAGTCAAAAAAAATATGTTTCTTTAAGTTAGGTGTTAAATAAAAATTGGCCTCAAGAAATAATTTGGCAGAAGCGATTGAGGAAGTGGCTTGGATAGAAATAAGGAAGGCCCAAAGCATTCCTTGGTATTAGTTTATGTCAGGGGACCCCATGGTCTGAGTTGGGGATGTTGACTTTTTATATCTCCTGAAACTTAAGCTCATCCTGGAGGGAGGGTCCTCCTGTTACAGCCCTTAGAGTGTGTGTGTGTGTGTGTGTGTGTGTGTGTGTTGGTGGTACTGGAGTTTAAACTCAGGGCCTTATGCTTGCAAGGAAGGCACTCTACCACTTGAGCAAGAGAATATAAAAAGGGGTAAACTTGTTCAAAGTACAAGTAAAAAGTATAAATTACATCTATGCAATTACCACAAAGGAATCCATTGTAATATTAATATATGCTAATAAAAAATAGAAAAAAAATAATTTTATGACCTGACACAAAAGTATAGGCACCATGCCTAGGGTCACAGTTTAGGAGAAGGCTAATAAGGACAGTAAAACTGTCTCTTCTGTCCTCTAAAAACAACACACAGGAAAGAGCCTTTTTAGATTGCTAAGGACCCCATTTATCACGTGTGAGTTCTGTAGGACTTGTCATGCTCTTCCCTGGTCCCAAAACATGAGTTGGCAGAGAAGCTGATGTCTTCACTGCGGGGAATGACTCTGAGACCTGACCCCGCAGCTTCTTCAGACCTGCCTAAGAACCTTTAAACAAAATATCTGTAGGATTCTCCTCTAGTGCTTAGGGTATGGCCAAAGTGATCCATTGCATTCCCTTGCCATCACCTGAGTGAGGGATAAAATAATTGCAGCCCTGAACATTTTCCTGTTAGCCTGAGAAATGGATCAGCAGATTTTGAGTCTTACCACATTCAGGGTCATTTTGCAGGTGGGGAAGGGTGAAGGTAATGGTAGCAAAGTAGGATTAGAGGGGAAGCGCTATCAGTATAATCTGTCTCATTGCCCAATTACCTGGTAGGATGCTCATCAGGCTCTGCAAAGCCTGCTTCTGAGTAGCCACCTTCTGTTCCTGAGTTCTCGTGGGCCGCGGAAGCTTAGGCAAAACTCCACCAGGCCAGATAGATTCTCGAAGAAGCCGGAGGTACTGCACCCAGCGCTGTGGGCATGTTAGGTTAGCCACCTGTACTTCTAGCCACCTTCGGTAGAAGAGAGAAGATAGCTCAAAAATATTGAAGGAAATGATATACCAAAACAACAGGCTGAATGTATATGTCACCCTCCAGGTCTGTATGTTGAAATCCTAACCCTCAAGGGATAGTATGAGGACGTTTGGACTCTGTGAGGTGATGAGATTGTGGGGGCAGAGTCACTGTGATTAAGATCAGTGTGACATTTCTACCATGTAAGGAAATAGGAAGAAGCTATACATCTATGGGCCTAGAAGAGGACCCTAACCAGATCCTTGAATTTCCTAGCCTTCACAACTGTGAGAATGGATGTCTGTTGCTTATAAGCCACAGTTTATGGCATTTTCTTATAACATCCCTAATGGACTGAGAACATGAATCATGTGAAAAATATGAACAGGGCAAAGCAAAGGCAGCACCAACCCCCACAATAGAAACCAAGCCAATACAACTGGAATCACACAATTCAAAGATAAGCAACAGCACAAACAGTGCTGTTTACTGAGTGTCCACTATGAGTGTCATATTGTACTAGGGTTTTTCAGAACAGAATGCAAAAAGAGCCTCAGTACCAAGACAAGAATGCAACTCGCTTTTCAGCTCTCCTCCAGTGGGAAGCATTACTACCTTCTTGATAACCTGAACATGCAGCCTTCAGATTTGAGTTTGGAATTTTTACACAACAATCCCTTAGTCCTCTCCCTTGCCTCCCCAGCATATCCAGTTGGCCTTCAAGTCCTACAACCTCTCTTTAGGCTTGCCTACACCTGCCCTTTGCTTATTACAATCAGTCTACTCCCACAAAGCTTTCTTCTCTCAGACGTTGAAGTCAGCTTTTCTGGAAGGCCCTGTTTAAACCCTACTTTCTCCACAAAAGCTTTCTGAATCAGCCCAGCCAGAAGTTCTCTCCTTCTCCTTACACCTCTTTAAGCACTTCATGCTATAGCACAGGTTTGAAGCTATTATTTTACTTTGGAGTATGAAGTATTTTATCATACATTTATAGCATTATTTCTTCAACTAGATTATAAACACCACAAGAGTTCTGTGTCCTGTACTTCTTAAAAATTTCTCAAAGTGCCTTTCTGCTCAAGACATGTTTGTTGACTGACAACTGTCTTCATTATAATGAGTATTTTTCCATCTGTCTTACTTTCAAACATGTGTCTGCAACTTTGAGCCCAGGTGAAAACCAGGAAGGTGTTTCAACATTATTCTTCATTTGTCCCTGGCATCTTTTCAGTGACATGGTTACTAGCTGAGGTTTGAGACTGTTGAGGCCTCCTTAGTATATATCTCCTTGGAGACTGGCATGGCTATCCTGGTCATGGATGGACCATCAACTACTTCTACTCATGCCCAGATGTCTATGACCACACCACACAGGAGCTCATGCCATTGCTCTTCTACCCGAATTATTTGTCGTCCATCCAAGAGCAGAGGGGGCTGCCAAGGCAAACTTTATTTAACCTCCACTCTGCCAGACAGTCTGCATTCCACTCAAGCTGGGCATTCCAGTCCTGGGGGCTGCAATCCCCCAAGCCCAGGGCTCACAAATGATTCCGAGAATAGGAAGTCTGAAAGGTAACAGCAGGGCAAGAATGCCAGACATCGATGGAGATCAAGAGCGGCACAAAGCTACTCTTGCCTAAAATAGCCATGGCGATTGTGTCTGTTATTATTAGGGCTGCATCTCCTTTTCACAGGGCTTTTCATTCAGCAAGCCTAAGCCACCTGATGAGAGGGATCCAGTAGCAAGAATTTCAGTTCCTGTTTTTAGAAGAGGGTCACCAGAGGGAGGCAGTTCCAATGACCTGATCAGGTTCTCTGGAGGGAAACAAGTGATCCAAGGGCTCCATTCTTCATCTAAAGCCATGTACATTTAGGTTCTAAATTAAGAGAAAAAAGGAAGAGGGGCAAAGCCTTGCTAACCAAAATCTTCAAGCCCAGAGAATTCTAGAACAAAACACATACATCTAGAATTACTTCTAGCTCAGTTTCTCATTCACATATGCATATAATAAGCCAGTTCGCCCTTCTTTCTGTCCTCTGAGGCCAATAATGCCTGTGATTCAAACTCTTCAAAGATATCTCAGCATCCGTGCAATCCTTTTGAGACTAAGCATATTATACAAGAGCAAATTGGGGTACCTCAGCCGTCTTCTGGGCATGTCTAACATGGCAGGAGTCAGAGTCTTGAATTAACATTAGTTAGTTCCTCCAATGGGTACAGGACCTCACCTGCATTATGACAAGGATATCCTCTTTGTTTTCTTCCATGGTAATTTAGCATCTCCCGCACAGACGTTGGGTGTGAAATGAATTTCAGTGTGCGGCACAATACAAATTTATACAAATCGAAAAGAGTACAATTTCCCAAACTCTAAGTGAGAACCACTCTAAGTGGTTGGGAAGAAGAACCAAAGTCTGAAAAGGTAAAATTAAGCACCTGATGAGGAGGATGAGTCAGTGAGTCATATTTGTGGGAACAAATCAGCAGAACTGTCCACGAGGACTAGAACCTCTAAATAACATTAACTATTAATGAAACAAGTCATCGTCAAGCACTGTAATCTGAGGCACAGAGCCAGTCAACGGAAGTCCTAGACTGGAAGATAGTCCTAGACTGCTGGAAACAGGATTTGTGCAAATTGGCAGAAACAGAACAAACTTCAGGTCTACAAAGAGGGACAGAGGTTAGAGAGTGGCTTCTCTGCATAAGGTGCTACAAAGTGTCAGCTTTCCTTATCTTTTTCCATACCCCACAGGCCACATAGTTGTACCACATGTGACTTAAACACTCACTCTTTGCAGAATTCTCCTGTTACCCAGGTTCTTCCAGCCCTTCCTCCTCTTAAAAAACAAACTCTTTCCCCTAGACCTTTGGGCTCAGCCTGATGTTACTTCCTAGCCTTAGGAAGCCTGTGGAGAATAATACGTGCAACAAATCTTTCTTATGCACACAGTTTCTGAGGGATGGTATCTTGTTATGAGCCATCAACATTCCAGTTCATGAATAATGAACACAAAGCCAAACCAAGAAAATTCCAACCACAACTACCCTCTCTCAAACTGCTCTGCTCCTCATACACTATAACTGCTAAAATCTGTGAGCTTGTAATCTAGCTTTATAGATACACTTTATCATTCCATACAATACCTTTTTAAAGTTGTAAGTGATCAGATTCAAGAACCTGGAATTGTTTGGCTTGCCTGACATCTAGATAGAAACAAATGCCAGCAGGCTCTTGGTAACAGTGAGGAGGGTGGGGATTTCTTCATCCAGTGATCTCTGCTCTCTATCCCTGTCTTCCCTTCCTTTTATTTTGTCATTCTTCTCTAAAGTAGAGCTTCATATGTACCATCATTTCTTTTTCTAACTATATTACAAACTCCCTTAGTCCTTCTGGGCTCACTCAGAAACTGAGCTAGAGGTGGGAAAAAAAAGATAAGGTGTAGGGGTGTTAATAGGGAATGACAGACACCCTTACCCCTTATGATCATCTCCCTTCCACTCTATGTTTCACATGTCATCTTTCTATTCTTAACACAGGAGTGAGAAGATTAAAAACAGATCTGGGGGGTTACTATACCCTAAAACTCCCTTAAGTCACAAGAGCATTTCTAACATCTGTTTCTGGAATCAGTTGGCACCATTTACTCTTTTTTTCTTTTTTTTTTTGAGACAGGGACTTTAGGGCTTTGTTCTGTACCCCAGGCTGGCCTTAAACTTGGATTCTTCTGCTCCTGCATTCTAGTGCTGGGATTATAAGCATGTTCCACAAAGCTCTGCTTACTTACTCTTAGGCTAACAGAAACCTAAAGTTTTAAGGTGAATACACATGTACACATGTATACACATCCCTAACATACTATAAATTACTTATAACAAACCACTTACTAAATATAAATGTTAGTGTTTATGTAATACAAGATGCATGAGGTAAACATGCTAAAATAAATATGGTAAAGAATAGCCCCACGTACCATTGGTTTTATTTTCCATCACTATTCTGGTTCTCACATTTGATTTAGAGAGATCACTTCCTATCATTCTACCTTTATACTAAAGGAAAGGAAAGGAAAAACTCAAACTAGGTTTGTTCTATCAAGCCATCTCTAAGAGATTCAGGGCACATGGAAGCCTTCCTAAGGGGCCAGAAATCACTAATAACATGACAAAAAAACCAACAATCTGACACTGAGATATTTAAGAGCTGTTCTTATTCCAGGCATGGAAGAAGGGAGGATGTAGAGATTAGGGCTTGCCATTACAAGGGAGTGTGTGCTACTCCATGTATGTATCTATAGCTGAAACAGCTATAGATAAAGGAATGAAGTCGCGGCTAAAAAGGAGATGGTTTAATACCAGGGCTTAAGATGGTGCTTCAAGGTTAGCACAAGGTCAGTTCCCGTAAAAAAATAGCAGAATCAAATCTCACAAGTAAGGGGAGAAGATTTCAGAGGCCATGTTTAATCCACACAGCCAAATTTCCTTACTTCTCTTTCTAAGAGACCTGCCATGGATAAGGGAGTAAGGGTCCTGAATCAATGTGGCTTAATGGGGAAGCGACAGAGAGGACAGTAAAGTCATAAAATAGAAAACAGTCATAAGAAAAGTAACAATATTCTAAAAAAAATGCCTGATGTGGTCTAAATAATAGAAAGTAACAAGTTCATTCCTTATGACCTGTTTATCCACTAGTCTATATCTCACAGACAAACTAAGCACAATTATGTTTCAACTGCAGCTTAATGTATCAAATAAAGTCTAAGGAAAAAGAGAGAGACAAAGATTATCAGGTTGAAGCTGACTTTAATAGCCTGTTCTTGTGTTTATAGATAGGATTTATCACTTGGGTGGGCATGAAGTACCTAACAAGTGTTGACTCTGTTACCCTGAGAGCAGGGTGTTCAGCCTTGGCACTAAGGATACTTTGGACGGCTAATTCTTTGTTATGGGGGCTGTTCTGTACATTATGAACATTCAGTGCATCCCTGACCCTCTA